AGATTATAATTATTTGAGACACACAATTTCCAGAACTAAGAATTAATTTAAGCAATAATTTTATTGTTGTTTATATTCGTTAAAATAAACTTTTAGACCTCTGGAAATTGTGTGCCTCAAAATAATGCCCCGGCACTATTTGTAAGATTAATTAATTAAACGCGTTTCAGACGGGCCAATAAATTTAGACCTTTGACAATATTTATTTTATAAAGGAATTACGTGTATAAAACTATCCATTCATTTTATAATAAAAGCGAACGCTATTATTTACTACTATACTTTTTTTATTATTCATTGCATAGTAAAAGCAAACGTTGTGATTAAAGTTATTTTACACGATACTGTTATATTTTTAAGACCATATTGTAACTTCGCAATACATTAAACATGCCTCCAGTCTCTTATATTAATCGACGTAACACTATTAGTGAGGCACTTAAAGAATTAAATAATTACCCTTCTAACTCTAAACGGCCAAGTATCAATAGTGTTGCTAAAAGTTTTGGAATCCCGGAAGCTACTCTTAGACGTGCCGTAAAAAATGGCAACCCTCCTAACCGTACAGGCCCACCAACTATACTTACCAAGCATGAGGAGGATCAACTTGCAGGCTATTGTATTAACGTCCAGAAGCTTGGGTTTGGCCTAACAAGATCTGGCGTTAATCATTGTGTGATGGAAATCTTAAGATTAAGCAAGCGACCACACCCTTTTAATAATAATGGACCGGGTCATGATTGGTGGGTGCGTTTCATGAGAGATCACCCTGAGCTATCGTTTCGCACTCCCCAAGAGTTATCAGAAGCACGAGCACAAAAGGCCAATGCAACAATTGTGAAAGATTATTTTGAAAAACTTGGCAAAATAATTAATGAAAATTCACTTACCGCTACACAGATTTGGAATATGGACGAAACTGGTTTCGTCCTTATTCCCAAATCTGAAAAAGTTATTGCACAAAAAGGTGCACGCCAGGTTCACAAAGTCGCACACGGAAATACTACTGAACATATTTCAGTAGTACCCACAATTTCAGCCGCTGGTTCATACATACCGCCTTTATTCATTTATAAAGGTGTTCGTGCAATCCCCGGTCTATTAGACGGCGCACCTCCTGGAGCTGTTATGGGTTTTACAGATTCTGGGTACATGAGAGAAGATCTTTTTCAAATGTACCTAAACCATTTTATTAATTCCATCCCACCTATTCGACCAGTCCTATTGATACTTGATGGCCACAAAAGTCACATTAACTATATGAGTGTAGACTTTTGTCGCCAAAATAATATTCTTCTCTTTGCTCTACCACCTCATACGACGCATGTTTTACAACCATCCGAGATTCCATTTGCGAAATTAAAAAAAGGATTTAGTAAAGAATGTGATAAGTATCATACTAATAACGGTAAAATAGTAACTAAGCATACCTTCGCGAAGATTCTCGGTCCCGTTTTTATTGAGGCCTATACACCACTAGCAATTTGCAACGCCTACAGAACCACTGGCATATGGCCATTTAATCCTAGTGCGATTAGTGTTGATCGTTTAGACCCTTCTTTATTAACTGAACAATTTAATGAACCCACCAACCCACCTTTAATTTCGCCATTACTTGCTCAATCAAATCATTTTCATTTTACTCGCCTAAATGCTAATAATTTAAAGGAAGAACATATTACACTTAAAAATGAAAATGATTTGTTAAGATCTCAGGTTAAGAAACTAAGTGAGGAACTGGAAACTTATAAGAACCCTGGGACATGTGCATTATGTTTAGCACTCAAGTATCCAGTTTCTCAAGCTCAAAATTCTCAAGTTACACCTG